ATTGGATATTTCTTAAAATATTCCCCACACTCATGACCTGCTTTATGTTTCCTCAGGACTGTACTACGTGGACTCTGAGGGGAACAGAGTGTGTGGTGACCTGTTTGCAGTGGGTTCGGGCTCTATGTACGCCTATGGTGTGATGGACAGTGGCCTGCGGCACGATCTGACCGTGGAGGAGGCCTGTGATCTGGGGCGCCGTGCCATCTACCAAGCAACATACCGCGATGCCTACAGCGGCGGGCAGGTCAACCTCTACCACGTCCACAGTGAGGGCTGGACCAGGGTCTCCCAGGATGATGTCCTGAAGCTGCACCAGCAGTATAAGGAGCAGGCTTAGTCAAGAGGGCAAAGGGGCAGATTTGTTTTTTTAGGGATTTGTTTAAATGTTTAAGATGTTCTGTAATGTCAAAACATAAATAAAAAAATCTAAACAATTAAATTCTACTTGTTACTTCACTGACCTATTTTTTGACTAGATTTAAGCCTTACATTGTGCATTTAAAAACCCATACGCTTAGTTTAACCAGCACTGAGAATTACTTGAGGCTTGGGGAAAGAGTGGTTGACACAGTGTAGGAAAGTGGAGCGTGGCCTGTACACATTTATTTGGTTCAGACCCTCCATCTAAAGCTTTCTCAATAAAATGTTATGTTTTTTCAGAGGGGCTCTTGTCCTTTATACTTGGACACAGCAGGGATAATCTGGGCATGAATGAACTTGATGGACACAGTTCAGTTGTGCCACATTGTATTTTTATCTTTTAACTTAACTTTGTTCCTATATGTTGTACATTTATTAGTGGGGAGTAGCACTGTTTAAATAGCACTACTTAATTGCATACCTCCAGTTTCAGTAATTGTGCCTCCTGACTTGTAACAGTGTGTTCTCTTCCCTTCATTGATAATGTTGCCTGCCTCCACTCACGTTGCACAAATGCTGCTTTTAATTGGAAGAAGAAAATTTATTCCCTAATTCCTTGCAGACTCAACTAGCTTCTCTATGCGCAATGTAGTGTGCAGCCCTGCCACAGTGGTTTACAATGTAACGACGTACTCTGGTGGTGTGCCCCTCCAGCAGTTTTTATGGTTGGGAACAAACACTAATAAAAGGGATGAGGTAGGCATGTGAAGCCAGTGCACTTCAAACCATGGTTAAAAACTAGTTTCACAGGTGACTAGTCGGCAGATGGAACCCAAATAGGATTTCAATAAATGGTAATGAGCAGGTCTCATCTGTGGAGCAGCCTAAAGTAAATGAAGTGGTGAAATTGCTCTATCAATACAAGTGGCAGTGATATGTATGTGTGTAATGTGTGAAAGCAGGGCTTATTAGGCCAAATCACAATACTATCTTCAGGTAAGACTTTATGAAACACTGCTTTAAGTGTTACAAACAAGCAGAGTTATTATTCATTATTCATTTCATACTTGGTGGTAGTAATTGTAGCCACAGCTGCCTTGGAGTATATTGGCAGAAGTGAGCTTCCCAAATCTGCACCAATCACATGCACATTCATACATATTAGTAAGCAAGGTGGGTAAAATGCCTTGCCTTAGGACACAGCAATAGTATGCACTGACTAAAGCCCCTTCACTGTGGTACTCAGCAGTCTTCAATCCAAGTAAGCTACTAACCAGACCCAGCACTGCTTAATTTCTGAGATCAGACAACATCCACTCTAATGTGCATTCAGTGAAGTTATGGCCATATTTATCTCAACATAGTAATGATCCCTTGTTCTCAACAATGGAAACTAGCACTAGCCTTTATGGCAAATTGCAGATGCGTTCACTGTTTATTAATAGATAAATTATAAAGATTAGGCTATATAACAAAAGCAATTAACTTATTTAGTTTTATTCACCAAATGTACCCTGCAGCTAGCCTACTTCATATTTTTTTCGTCCATTAGCTACATGAAGATAAAAATGTGATAGAGACGTTCTTAATATGATTTTATTTCTGAATACTTACATCTAAAATAGAGATATATGACCAGTGGGTGCTGCGAGCTTTTAATAATGAATGAGCTGCTGCAGGTGAAACACAGCAGTGGTTACACTTGAGCCAAATCACGCAGCCCTGAACTCTCTAAATACACCTGGTAAAAGTAATTACAACTCACAATTCTGTACAATATTCAATTTTAAAAAAATTAAATTAAATAAAATACAGAAACTATATTTTTAACACATCCTCAACATTTCAAGTCCTCTGTGGCCCATTTAAAAGTTTGTGACATACCCTTAGCACATTTACTTAATTAAAATAAAAATAATCATTATTATTACTGAATACAATTAATTGTTCACTTGTTGTCCACAATTGACACTTGCTCAGTCACCTGTCATGCAGTCATGCCTCTTTAATGAACATTCCCACAGTTAACTAATCTTAAAAGAAGCAACAGGCTAATTAAAGGGACTCCACTTACAAACTCAACATGTAAACGGCAGACACTGTGCAGTGATTCCACATTTGATGAATCATTTGACATTGCCTTGATTTGAAGCCACCCCCCCATCCAAAGATGGACATGTGAGATTATTTATCTTTAATGAAGCCCTGTGCGCCCAAGGAGATGTGTGCGTGCTTGGCCCCTCACCCAGAGTTCCTGGTGCTCTGCCCAGCCCCTCCTGTCTGACGTTTGACCTTGGCATTAGCCCAGCAGACAGTCAGCAGCAGCAGCAGCACTGGGCGAAAGGAGGAGCTAGTCTGTCTGGCACCAAGATTGCAGGTTGTCAACAGGTATTTTCAGAATAGCTGCTATTATCAGTACCAGCTTTCATATTTTTTCACAAAGCTTTACACTCAGGGCAAGATGGTGACACTCTGGGGAGGCATTGCAAAATGAGGAAAATGGCTCACTTTTTTCATCTAAATTACACAGAATGCAATGAAAAAGACCAGCTGGCGATATTGAAAGGTGCCAGCATGATGATTTTCACACTGTCAGAAAATAACCCCTGTGCCCACATTATACCATCTGTCAGGTGGTCTTCTGTGATGTGCTCCAAGGCTCCAGGACGGATCTGAGCATGACGTATTTTCCAACACACCTTTACCTACACGGTCTTATTCCCATGATTTAATACTGGTGTTTGTAATTGGATTCTGAAAGGCACATACCCCCACATCAGGTGTGGCTGACTGGGTATTGAGGAATCATTGTTTATTTCTGCTGATGCATCCCACGATTGAAAAACAAATGAGAAGTCTATTTGGCTGAGGTAATGGCTCCCGGCTGGCTGCCTGTCGTCCACCCCAGGGCTCTGAGTCCGGGTGTCATATAATCAGCACACCCAAGCCCCTAAAACCTTGCCAGCTCTGACAAACAACAAAGCCGCTATGACGATAATTGCATTTGTGGTCCCGGCACATCCCCTTTTGGAACTGGCGCCTGTGCCTCAGCTCGTTTGAGAGCTGTACTTTTTCATCCCTCACCATGACAGTCGCGCTCTTGTCATTCCCGCTGCGTGCTCACCACAGCCGCCTCACTCCACTTCACACTTTTCTCTTCCCCTTTCAGCATGCTTTTATACAACGTGTTCAGCGATTGCTTTTTTGACTTGATTAATTCAGTGACACGACTGAATACAGCTCTGCAAAGTAAACAGTGCAGCCCTTGAGTTGTATCCAATAGGAGACGTTGTTTGTCCATTTCCCAGTAGCACTCGGGCCCCTGCCAACAGCTCCATTGTGACTCTTGATGATGATGATGATGATGAGGGTGGTAGGAAGGAGGATGGTGATAGCTCCTCTATTAGCACGACCCAGGTCTCCAGAGGCCCCAGGCGCTGCAGTTTATCCCCTGTCATGACACCTGACTGTATAAATGGGGCCTGTCTGTTTGTTTTATTGTCAGCAGCACTGGTCCTTGGCTCTCAGGCAAACACAGGGTCAGGAGACTACAGCTAAAGACGTACACAGAGAGCAATGGTGGGTGCCACGGTCACTCACTTAGCCCCATGTGGCTACTGGCATTTTTATAGCACCACATCCTCTATTGTGTGGTGACTAAGACCCCTAGGGCTGGCAAAAGTAAATTGTAGATTCTGTTTTTGCCCACATTTTCAATAGTCTTTTTCTGGCCTCTCGCTATTTTAGTGCCTGTTCAGTTTAGCCTACATGTGTCCACTTAACATTTGTTCAAGTGACACACCATTACAGAGCTATGAGTCGGACATGAAATTGTGCAGGTGCAGCTTTAGAAGTCTTTGCTTCTGAGAACACAAGGTTTAAAGTGATCATTACCTTTATGCTCAAGGTTTTTTAATGACATTAGAGTCACCCACTCATCCCTCTTAACCTGGCAGAGCGCAGATAGATATGTGTAGTGGTCTTGATTCAAGTAATTCATCTGGGCTCTCTCTTGCTGTAAGCGATCAAGGAAAGGTGGAACATTCAGACAAATCCTTCAAGTTAATTCAAGGTGAGCAGCAAGGAGTGAAATTACTAACCTAACTAATGTGTAGAACTCTGAATTGGGTTCTTTCTTCTTTTTTCTTAGCAGTCATATTTCTTTTGATACGGATGGACTAAGCTTGTCCCTGATTCGCCAATCCACCTGTCACTTACCTCCATCTGAACTCAGGGAGATTCACTGGTGACCCCTTGTTTATAAAATATTATATGTATTCTGGATCCCAACAAATACTAATGCTTTTCAGATTTCTAATGTGTGGTACCCCGTGTGTTTGTATGTAGCTACTTTAAATGCGAGGACCTGACTTTTGGACTTCTCCTTTCATAATCAGTGAGTCAAAAGCAAACGTGAACAAGCTGCTTTATGTGCTGAACAGATGGTTTGTGCTTCTCAAGCATCTCAAATATGCCCCAACCTCAGTCGCTGTCAACAACAGTGTGCATGACTGATTTTAAACCATTCATAAGGGATCTTGAATCTTAATCTGTTGTCCAGTTCTGTTTAATTTATTTTCTATTTCCAAGTAGTCTTGTGGACCCCAAGAATCTTATAGAAACAATCAGATTCTTTAGGGTTAATGAGTATAAATCATTGATTCTAACACATTTAACAATATTCTACCTAGTGACAGAGACAGTTGGTTGAGAGTTGTAATGCACATATGTCTGACCATTAACCAGACAGAGATATAGCATAGGTTACACGTGACATCGAGTAGTCTGTAGTTTCAGATGCCATTTCAGTTCAAAATCAGTCTTTACTCCTGCAAAGTCACGTCAATAAAACAAACCATCGGGTTTCACATGATCTCCCCCTTTGGCATTTGAGCGTCACCATACTGACAAATGAGAGCAGAAATACAGCTCTCCCTTATTGGTTTAAAGTGTCACTCACAGCTTCAGGCCTTTTGACAGAGTAGCCAGCACCAGCACAAGTGCAATCTCAAGACAAACTACTTCTGCCAAGCCTGGAGCCTCAGTTCCCCTTTTCTCTTCTTCTTCTCCTCACCGTAC